CTCCTAAGCTATCCGTAACTTTCTTGAATAATTTTGATGTAAAATTTGACCCATGATCTGATTGTATCGCTGTAGGTAGTCTGTATCTAATTTTAAAAAATTGAGTAACTCTTCTACAGTCCTTTTAGCCATGATAATCTAGTAGACACCTCCATTATGGTCAACAAATACTGATTTCCACTTATTGTTTTAGGTAGGGGTCCTATGCAATCAATTAAGACTGTTGTAAAAGGTTCCTCAGATCTGGGAATGGATATTCAGGGTGCTGGGGGTTTTATCACTGCCTGAGGTTTTCCTGATATGTAAGACATGATCAAACACATCCTTATGCAGTCCAGGCCAATAAAAATGGTTTTGTATTTTGGCTTGCCTATTTTTCATTATCTACAGAAAATTAATGTTAAAATTAAAAAAATTAAATATATAAAATTTAAATAAAATCAACCACTTAGTTGAGTAACTGAATAAAAAACAACTCATCAGAGTTGGGTAGCATTTGTGTAGAGAGCGACATACTTAACATGTAAGGTCTATGATCGGTCATCAGATTATCTCCGCAGCTGCTGTCAGACCTGCTTAGCATTTTCAGCATTTCCTATTAGTGTGATAGCTTATGACTCTGTAGTTCCCTGCTGTGATCATTAGGTGGTACCAGGGAACAGATTCTTCCTCTCAAGACTTTATTTTTTCCTCATTAACTGTAATTCCTAGATTTCACATGAAGGAATCAAACACAGTTTTTTAAAATTAAGAGTTACAATAACAAAATGAATTGTATGTGCTATATTGTCCTTTGTGTCTCTTAATGTTTCATTTTTATGTGAAGGTGACAGTCAGTTTCTTAAGGGCTGAGCTTCTGCAAATACTTTTTGACCCATAATGTTTTCAATCACGTGCATTCTAAGCACACACAGAATGCATATGTTTCTGGAGTATAAGCTGTATATCTGAGGAGTTTTCTTTACCTTATGAGGATCTGAGTTTCTTTGTCTTTTTTCCAAAAATGTTAATTCTCCCTCTCCGATGTGCTTTAATTATCAATGTGGTCTCCGATGTACATTATGTATTACTATTGTGATTTTCTGAAGTCACAGATGAACTAAAGCAATACGTGAACATAAACAACAGTGGATGTGTTTTTTTAATTTGGTGATTAGAGAAGTAAATAGAAATTGGTGATAGAGAATTATTTTTAATCCATTATCAGTTTTGACTGTACATACTAAAAAAAACTCCTGAATCATTTTTGAGGTTGAACAAGTTTTGTTTTGGCAAAAATTGATAATGATATTGAATCTTTCATCATTCTGAAGAAGTCGTAGCATATTTGAATAATTAAACCTGTTTCTCTCTCCATAGATGCTGCCAGACCGACTGGGTTTCCATAGTATTCTGTTTGTATTTATAAAACAAACTTGGAAACTGCATCATTATTACCTTTTATTTTCAATTTGGAATTATTTTAGTAATGGAAACTTTTGTTTATTAAAGATTGCATAAGTCAGCAAGTTCACCAGTAACATACTCCTGGTTCACATCAGGTTGTATGTCAGAATGTTACGTGTCCCCAAACCATGACTTTCTGTTTAAATGAGCATAACCTTTACACTTGGTTAAATGCCAGAACATAATCATGGGAACTTATTTCAGTTGGCACAGTAATGATGTGCAGTATCCAATGGGGGTGAGGGTTCACTGGTCCTAAAAAAAGGTCAGAGGCAATTTGCATTGCAATTCTCCAAGAAAAACATCCTCCAAAATGATGTGAAATCTTTATCTTTTTCTCAGTATTGCCAAATCCCACTAACCTCAAGTTCTCGAAAATTTCATGGAGTACTGTTGACGTTTTTGTTAGTTCACTCCCTCCAAGCCTAGATTCTGTCATTTCTTCTCCATTTTAAACCCAATCTAGAGAACAGTCCTAGTGCTGTATAATCCCCAAGCTGTTTCTTATGGTTTCAATCCAGCAGAACTTGATCCTGGAAACCCGTAGGTACTCGGATCATTCTTGCCAATCCTAACCTGCTACCTGTTACCAGAGCTTTATAATGTTTTATAATCTAAGGAACACTTCCCATGTCCTTTTAGCCTTTGCGAGCCCAGTTCAATGTACTGCTACATCCTGAGACTATTTTGCAGTTCTGTAATCATTGTCCTGTGGAGTACTTCAGCATTTTCCTAAAAGATCTAACATGTGATGTTCCATTATTGCACTTCCAATTTAGACAATATGGCAATTCTCATATCTATATCTGATGTCTTCATATAGTTTTTTTTCTCTGCCTCTTGATTTTGTGTCTTACCTTTCTAGCTGTCCTAATAATTATAAAACTCCATGCTCTTTCATACTTAATAGGTTGGGTAACATGGCACGATTGAGAAAAACCCTAATTGTATTTTCATTGGGAGCTTTGGCAATCAAAGGCTCCCTTCCAATCACTTACACATTTCAGCCCCATTCTTCTCTCCTTTTGGTCCCATATGACTTACTTCTCTTCTGTCCCTTTATTCACTTTTCCCTTATCTAGGTCAGTCCCAAAAGAATGTGTAAAAGTCTTCACTCTCAAATTGTTTCCTTCTCCCCTACTCGCTTGCTGTTCTTTTTTTGTATTTGTTTTACTCAGAAGTTTGCTTCAAAATTCAACTTTAATTACAAAAATCAAATGTGCTTCTTTCTATTTGCATCTTTTTGTTTGTATGTTTATTATAAATTTTACTTCTGTGTTTGTCTTAAAGCTGTGGATTGAAATGAGAAAAAAAATGTTTTAAACTAGGAAATTACAAGGATTGGCCACATGGTTTGAAAATAAGGAATTTGATATCTGTTGTCAGCTCTGTTTATGTAGCTGTGAATTCCAGCAGAAATGCTGATGAACTGGAGCTGAGGTGTTATTTCCAAATTAGTACATTGATCATTTGTCCCTAGTTTGCAAACCAATGACAAAGGTCTTCTCCCTAAGAACAGCAAGATATTTGGTTATCAGTTATCCGAATAGCTTGGGCTGTGAGTTACACTGATGTTTTGTTGGACCAGAATAGAAACCGACAGGCCTGCAGCAACCAAAAAACGTTCTCTTACAGTTCTCTGCAGTAACCACTTTAAAGCTAAAGAAAACCAGTTTATTTTTCCTTCAGCAGATGCTACAGATTGTGACTTTAAAATGGATATGTCAGAGACCGTTAATAAGTGAACTACCCATTCTGTGCCTCTTACAAACCTTCATGCAGTTCTTCACCACTGGCATATGAAGCTTGGTAATAAAAATATTCTGGCCCTGAAATATGGGACAGACCAAAACCTAAATCAAGTTTGTTACTAAGACAAAAAAGATACTGGTCTAAAACAATTTCTGAAGATATTTGAATTATTCTTGTAAAACTGCCAGGCAGCTGTCTGTTATGCATAATATACTCAAGTGTAGAATAGCAGCTGTCATCTATCACACATCTCTAATGTTGAAAATACATAGAATCCCTACACTGTGGAAACAGGCCCTTCAACCCAACACTGGCCCTCAGAGCATCCCACCCAGACCCATCCCCCTAATCTACACATCCTTGAACACTACAAGCAATTTAGCATGGCCAATCCACCTAATCTGCACATCTTTGGACTGTGGGAGGAAACCCATGCAGATATGGGGAGAACGTGCAAACTCCACACAGACAGTCACCCAAGGGTGGAACTGAACCTGCATCTTTGGTGTTGTGAGCCACTGTGCCACCCTACATACATGTTATAGCAATTCCTACAAAACACTGGTTCTTGAAAATACTTGCATTAAATTTACAATGCAAGTCTTGTATACTTGATATGGCATATAATATAGATGGGTATGCATGCAATGCTAAGTTTTATGAAGGGTAGCTAAGAAGTATATATGGTGCAATTAACTTTAAAACCTTGAACGTATAAATGAAACAATTCTATTATAAGACACAGCAGCTGCATAAAAATTAACAAAGCTTTTCTAAAATAATACATTTATCTAAGAAAATTAGCATATGCAGCATTTGGGGTTGGGACGAGAATTGCACAATTTTGTACCAAAATATTTTAAATTCTACTTTTGGTCTTACACAGTGTAGCTCATTAAAACTGAGTTGAATATGAATGAAGATTACCTGTTCTTTGCAAGGTTGTGTGCTGATTTTTGTTCTGCTAATTTGTTGCTTAAGATCTATGCAATTGTGTACATTAAAATTAAATAAAGTATAACAAATGAATGTTACAGAGATAATAGGGAACTGCTGATGCTGGAGAAACTAAGATAACAAGGTGTAGAGCTGGATGAACACAGCAGGCCAAGCAGCATCAGAGGAGCAGGAAAGCTGACGTTTCGGGTTGAGACCCTTCTTC